CCCATACTTTCTGCGATGTGAACAAGTCATTTCTGGTTTAAGCTGTTTTTTTTTTTTTTTAGATGAAAAGACACTGCAAAACAGGCTTTGTTCCTTTTGCCCTACAACTGAGATCTGTAAAATCAACAGCTCCTTTGAAATTAAAGAGACTTGTTTCAATTGAGTGTGTTGAGTCAAATAGGGCAAGGTTTGGACAATGTACAAGCCCGGTGGAGTTGGGTACAGAACACAGTGTGGCAGCTGGCTCACCATACTGCATGCTTCTTGCCAGCCCAGCTCTCACAGGAGAGTGGAGCTGCAGGTAACACAGACCGAGACCAGAGTGGCCGGGTACAAGAAAGGGTTTTATTAGTGAGGTGGGGCAGGAAAGGGTGCAAGGAGTCACAATCGCCACTACGGAATCACACAACTACCAATTCCAACTTGGTGAAGGACAGCGAATAACTTAATCTAGACTCATATCCTCTTCTTCGTCTTTCTTGTCCTTTCCATCTCCCTCCTTTGGGTCCGATTTGGCATTGTTCTGCATGGCTTTGGCAAATGCTTCCACATCTGAAACAGCCATTGCGGGGCTACTGAACCCCAAGCCAGGGCCGCTACCCAAGGAGACAACCTCCAACACTACACATAACAAAGTTGGTTCTGGTCAAGTGAGGATCAGTACTCACCACCTTTGTTGGCGGCCTCGACAGCCTCTGCAGGAAGGCCAAACTGGCACATGAGGGGGCCAAGCTGTCCTGAGGCCAAGGCTGCACTGAACATACCCAGGGCCTGAAAGAGCAAACATGCAGAACTGGGTGCCTAGGGCAACAGACCACCACTGCTGAAAGTCAAAGGTGTGGAGCGCAATGGGCATGTGTACCTGCTGGAACTGGGGTGAGGTCAATGTGTTCTGGATCTCATCTGCAGTCTGGGGCAGAGACTCCCCAGAGGGCAGGTAGGGTAACAGGCGCTCCTGAACATCTGCATTGGCAAGGATGGGAGCCATGATCTCTGGTGTCAGCACGCTCGCCAGATCCACTAGGGCATAAGCAACATGGTCATCAGTGGCCCGATGCCAGCCCAGGCACCCAGAGGGCAGCAGACTGGAAGCCTTGTAGCACAGGCAGAGTGAGGTGGGCAAGTGTGACTTGACACCACAGATACCCAAGCTCCACGTCTTAAAACCACCACCATGCTGGTGGGCAGCAGTCCTTGACCCCCACAAGCACCCGCAGCTCTTTACCTTGCTGGCTGCCTCCTGGCCCTGCTGGTACATTCATAGTGGCCAGAATGCTCTGGAGGTCGCTCAGCTGGATGGGCTGGGTCGGGCTGGCTGCTGTGCTGGTTCCATTACCTGAGCTGGGTGCGGGACTTGGGCTGGTTGCTGAGGCAGCTGCTGGGGCAGAAGGGGCTGGAGTGGCACGAGCGGAAGAGGTGGTGGAGGATGGGGTGACGGCTGCCGATTGGCTCCGGGAGCTGGGGAAAGTGAGCAGAGGCTGGAGCAGCTCGGCCCACTGTGCTTCAGGGCTATTCAACAGGTGTGGAGGACTCACCCAACCCCAACTCGGGTGTAACAGGAACCCCTTACCCTACCTCCTAAGCAAGGTCTCCAGAAAGGAGAGTGCAATGGCTGGTATTGGTGCCTGGTACCCATGCTGGGGGCTCACCTGGATGAAGAGCTGCTTGCTGGAGGTCCGCTGCTCCCCAGCAAGCTGGCCAGGCCTGGTCCAGTGAGGGCTCCAAGCCCACCTAAAGGAGTAAAAAATGTGTTCTAGAGACACCCCCAGCCCACTTGAGAAGGCACTAACCCATGCCCTCTGGCCAGAGAAGCTACCCAATACCAAGAGCAGGGAGGGTTTTTAACAGGGCAGGCCATAGGAGGCTGAAGTGAGCCCTCAGGTCTGAATTCTAAACACTGTTCTACTGAGCTGGGTCATTTTCATTCCACTCATATTCACACTCAAGGACAAGGCCACATCTTGGCTAGAACAGGGCCTCTTAATGTGTCTAGAACATTTGTTGTACCCCAGGTGAAATATACACACAGGTAGGAGACCAGGTCCCTCCCTGCCCACCCAACAGCCAACACCTTCCAGAAAAGAAGTGAAATAGGAATACATGGGCATAGACAGGGCTGAGACCCCAGTAATGAGGTGAGAAGAAACCCTGGGTCTGTAAGCAAGCACTGAAAAGGCACCTTATGGGAGTGCCAGGGACAGCAGGGTATTACCCAGTCCTCCGAGGCCAGCTGGTCCGATGAGCTGCATGAGCTGGCTATGACTCATGTTCCCCAACAGGCTCTGCAGGCCACCTTCACCTGGTGAACACAGGAATCAGATATGGACCTGCAGTGGCCATGGCCCCACCCCAGAGCCACTCAGGGGATAACAGCCTCTGAAAGGAGGCAGCAGGGACCAGGTGAGTTTTGTCCAGTAAAGATGGGAGTAAAGAAAGAACTGGAACTCAGGCAGGGTTCTGCCTGATGATCTACCAGTTCACTCAAGGACACTGCCCATACAGGTCTGGGTGATCATTACCGCCCAGTGCTGAAAGCTCATGGCCACCACTCCCACTTGCTCCCAGTGCCCCAGGCATGGGGGGGTTGTTCAGACACTCGTTGACTTTCCGGCAGTGCTCCTCATCTTGGTCAGTCTTGGGTTCCTGCCAGAGAGGATACACAAAGAGTCAAGGCTGAGCAGTCTGCACAGGGAGCTGGCTCATGCCTGCTGGCTTCCCAGCACCCACATGGCCAGCCACCCTGATCATCCCACACAGTGACTGGAGAAGCAGTAACCTGCCAACTATCATAGCACCATAGACAGAACCCAGCCTAGACTCTAATAGGGAGAGTAATGTCAGGCCCCAGAACTTCAGGGCAGAATACTGTGTGGCAAGGAGCAAGACAGGCATAACTGGAGTGAAATTAGGAAGAACTGCTGTCATGAGGTCCAGAACTGTGGAGAGATCCCCTGCAACACTCTCCAACAGTTCCCACCTACAGACGTTCTGCAGCACAGCCAACCCGACTGTCCCGTGTTCCGGATCCTTAGGCTCAGGACTAGAACCCTGGAACCGGTACCTTTCCCTCCTGGAACTTCACAGACACACAGCAACTTTGCTGCCCCTTAGACAGGATGACAGCTGCGACGACTGTCCATCCTGAAAATGTGGACTTCACCCCTGAACATAGCCCAAGTCTAGCCTGACCCTAAACTATGTCCACGTCCATCACTACAAAACTACATTAACAATATAAGAAACAAACACACCAATGGCCTCCAACAGGCAGAAGTGGACACCCCAATTTGAGGGACATTGCAGCTGTGTGTGACACTGAAAGGTCTCTCAACACAGAGCACAGCAGAGCTTGAGGGAAACACCCAACTGTTGAGAGGAGAGGGTGTCAACATCCATGGCCAGGGAGCAATGGACAACCTGAGGATCTGAAGCTGTGTGCCCACATGAGCTACCTACATAGGTGGGAACTCGGATCAACCACTCCTCCAGGTCTGCACCCTCCGAGGAAAGCAACCTCAAGTGTATCACAAGGTAGAGTGAACCACTCTGCTTACCTGCATCCAAAAGAAGAGCCGCTTGGACCCTGCCTTAAACTTGAGCACGTAGACCCTCCCACTGGGGCACTGAGGCACCCGCTTGAACTCACAGTCATCGGGAAAGATGATCAAGTCCTGGTCACACAAGGAGAACAGTCAGACACATGCACCATCAAGGCTTAGGTCCCCTGGAAACTTGTTGTACCCAATAACAGGGCGGGGCCCAAAAGGCCCAGACCCCAGTGAAGACAGGTGGGAGAGGGCCCAGAGTGGTGGGGTAGAAAAGGTGTCCTCTGAGGAACTGATGACTTTTAACACAAGCATTCTGGAACTGTGCTCCAAGAAGCAAAAGGTCAGCCAACTCTGGCTGCTCCTAAGTGTAACAAAGAACAATGTGATCTGAGACACAAAGAGCCCTGAGGAAAGCAGCCTCTTCAGAGAGCTAAACTACCCGCGGCTGTGGTGAGGGTCATATCTGCACACTCCTCCATAACAAGTTTAAAGCCAGGACTAAGGACACTGTCACCAGCTGACTCTCATCCTGTCTGCAAGCTGTCTCTGCTAAAATCTTAAGAACCATGGGTCACCCTGAGGTGCATGGCTTCAGAGTGACAGCTAACCTTTGGACAGACAACCGCTACACCAATGTACTGAAGGTGAGGCTAATGGCCCCACATTCTCAGCTCTCGCCCAGAGCCTCTGCTGGCCTGGTATGGCTTCAGGCACTCACATCCTCCACGGTCCCAGAGGTCCTGTCTTTCCAACAGAAGTGAATGAGGGAGTCGTCCGTCTGCTGGATGTACACGAGCCCTTTTCGTTTATCTGGGGTGACCGTAGTTCCTTTTAATGACATTTTTCCTGCCCGGAACTCCACCAAATACTTGGTAGAGGATCCCCGAGAGCCGGGTACCAGGCTTGGGAATAGAGCGCCTGAAGTCGTCATCCTGAAAAAGCAGAGCGAGGGCCGTCGTGCGGCGTCGCGTGCGCAGCGTCCCACCCAAACGCTGGTCAGCCCGCGGCTGCCCCGGAGCGGGAGCGCGCCAGGCTGCGCAAGGCCAGCTGGTGTGCGCAGGACCAAGCGCAGCCCCGCGAACTCCCCGCTCCCGCGACGTCACTGCCCGCCCGCGCAGAGCCTCGCCGCGGCCGGCCCGGCGCGTCCGGGGCACCGGCGGCCGGCCCGCACTGCTTCGGGCCCGTGCTGCTGCCGCGTCCCGTCCTCCCGCCGCTCGGCCGACTCCGGAGCCGCGTTCCCCTACCCCGCCGCTGCCGCCGCCGGGGCCCTACCTGGCTGTGCTCACACTCGGCCTACGGGCGCCGTCCGGGCTAGCTCTTCCTCCTCGGCGCCTGCCGGGCCTCGCCGGAAGCCCGCGCTCGGCCCGCCCCACCGCCGCTCTCGCCGCCGATTGAGTTCCGTCAGCCGCGCGGCCAGCCCTGACCCAGACCCGATTGGCCTTCGCCGCCGTCCATCGCGTCCGGCCCGCCTCCGCGCCGGCGGCCTGTTTCCAGCGGAAGCGCGGGCCAGAGCGGCCCCTATTGTTGCTGTGTCATAGGGGAGCGGCGGCGGCCCCTGGCGGCGGCGCCGGGAACATCGGTCTGGTCTCCGCGACACCCAGAAGGGACCCCGCGGGGCGGCGCTGCAGCAGCGGCCGAGGTCGGACAGGGATGGTGAGCACTAAAGGTGCCCATGGAGCCGAGCTGTGACATACTCGCAGGGACGGCTGTCCTCTGCGTTATCTACCTGGTTCTGAATGGAGCCAGCTCTCCACAACCGCAGGAAGACTGCCTTATCTGATGTGCATTATTTGGTGAGCGAGATGTCAAGGTCTGAGACATAAAATAGTCACATGGTTGAAAAAGTAGGAGGAAGTCTCATGACACGGGAGCGAGGAAAATGTCAGCTTCATGTCACTTTATGCTAATTTGACATATATTACAGCAAAGTACAAGAGACTGCTTGGGACAGGGGTGGCGGGTGGAGAAGGTAGCATGGGGTTGCTCAATTCTGCAAGAGGTTCACAAGGCACCAAGGGTTGTTGCTCCTAGTATCGAGGACCTAGGGGCTGCATGTAGCTAGCCCGGTGGGGCGCAGCTGCCTCCCATTAGTGCAGAGGCGCTGGCAAAATGTACAGCCCAGGAGGCCTCACATTCTCTTTTACACGCCACTTGGATTTCTTTGCTTTCTTTTTGACAGCTCAGGCTCATCCTCTGTCCCGCTCCAAGGCTGAGCAGTGCTGAATGAATCTCTCTAGCTTCCCCTGGCATGCTTCACAATTTACCATCTGTGTATGTGTGAAACACGTGTGGTCTTTTTCTGAAAGATAGAAAGGTGAAAAGTAGTTTTTTTCACTTAACAATACTTGATTGATGCTGACACAAATGTGTTCCAGGCCAGCCTGAGCTAGAGGAGAGCTGCCTCGAAGATGCATTTATATTGCCACAGTGGCTCACTCATTTTAATTCCTGTCTAGCATTCTGATACATTAAGTTCTACACCGCTGCATCTGTCATCTTTTCATTGGAAGGTGTCCTGTGTAATTTCTGTTTTTAAGTTTTTTATTTTATTATTTTGTGTGCTCGTGCTATGGCACACATGTGGTCTAAGCATAACTTTCAGTGTTTGGTTCTCTTTCCACTGCGGGTTTCTGTGATCAAACTTGGTTTGTCAGGCTTGCCTGGCGAGCAATTTTACCTGTTGCATCATCTCACTGGCCTGGTTTATACCTTTTTACTACAAAACCCTTCAATCTTGCCAGCTGTGGTAGCTCATGTCTGTAATCCCAGCCCTTAAAAGGCTGAGGTGGGAAAACTGTGAAGTGTTCAAAACCAATTTAAAAGATTTAATTGGGGCTGGAGAAGTGATTCCGTGATTAAAAGCACTGGCTGCTCTTCCAGGGGCCCCAGGTCTGATTTCCAGCACCCATATGGCAGCTCCTGTCTGTAACTCCAGTTCCATGGGATCTGATGCCCTCTTCTGGCCTCGGTTATACAGACATGCATGCAAAACATACATCAAAATCTTTTTGATCATTTTTAACTAAAAGATTTAATTGATTTTGGGGACAGCTTGGAAAATATAGCTGTCATCTCATTAAAATGTTGTCCATAAGCTGAAGGTTTTTGTTTGTTGCTATGCTAGGGATCCACCTACGGCCTGTGCATTCCTGCTAAGTGCTTCATCACTGAATCACATTTCCAGCTCAATTGTTGTTTATCTTATGTGCTTTGCCCAAGTGTATGTATAAACAACTCACGTGCCTGCAAAGCCCAGAAGAGAGTATCTGGGATCTTCAGGAACTGGAGTTACAGACAGTTTCGAGTAACCATGTGCATGCTGGGAACCTTACCCTGCCCTCTGGAAGAGCAGACCTTGCTATTTAAACAAAACTTCTTTGGAGCTGATGATTCTTCTGTGTTTGGTGCTGTGCCACTATACACCTTCAAGCAGCCCTCATCATTTCTAAGATTCTAAGTTTCTAGAGGGCAATGGTGGAGTGAGATCAACACAGGCTGAGCCTGGTGTCAGGGGCTGACACTACAGCCCAGTGGACTGTGAAACATGGAAAGGGGAATAGAAGAAAATCTAACCTGGCTTCCAGGCAAGTGGCCCCAAGCAAATGTCACTTGTTCAAAGCCATATGTCAAAGCTGCTGCCGGAGGTCACGAGCAGCTCCTATTTCAAAACCAGAAAACTTGGCTTCTTCCAGGTCATAAAAGTTGAGGGCCTTGGATCCTGTCTCTTCTCTCATGAGCCAGGATACTTGGGGTGGCAGAAAGAGGGCAGTTTTGCACAGACACATAGTAAGCATTCTGCACATTACCCCGGCTGAGAACTGAGGAGGCTGTGTTGGTGTCCACCCCACTTGAGGGCTGCATGAGGGCACTGAGAGGACAGCTGCAGGCAGCCTGCAAAGATGCTGGCCCCACAGGCACTGCAGTGCACAGAGGCGACCCATGAAATGTGCAAGCCTGTACTGAATCCATGTAAAGGTCCCAGAGGAGACTGGGGAAAAGCCTGGGTAGGTTGCAGTGGTTACCTTGGGCCCTGACCTGTGTGGACTGCTCTGTGGATGGTTTCCACAGGGAAGTAAGTTCTAGTAGCCCTGAAAAAGCAAGCCCTGAGCTGGGCTGTGGCTGAGTGATTCCCTAGCATTTCCAAACAACAAAAGCTTCTCTGAACAAGGCAAACCCAGAGACCTATGAGCCTTTGCTGGCAGAGAGAATGCTGCCTCACAGCCCTGGGCACGTATTTTACCTGGAGGAAGAACAAAGTTTTTCAGAGGGCAAAAGAATCTGAAAAGATGTTCATGTCCTTATTTACAAGAAAACAAGATGAAAACGCATCTTTGGGAACAAGTACAAAGAAAAGCAGTGACAGTATCAAGGGCCGGGGTCTTTAATACTAGAAATGCCAAATGGCACAGCCACCAGGGAGCTGACTTTGGCAGGTGTGGCTTTTTCCCCACTTGTTTTATTAATAGACTTAATTCTTCAGAATAATTTTAGGTTCACAAGAGAACTGAGCAGAAAGTACAGACAGTTCATAATGCCCTGCCCCCTGCGTCCCAGGCTGCACCTTCCCCTGGGTCTGTTAGAACCAGTCAACTTTACCCCACAATTCATGACCTTAGGGCTCACTCAGCAAGTGCTACCATGTACCTCTACACAAACACTTCTCAGTTTCCAGCAGAAAACCAAGGTCAAGGCGGGGCAGTTTCTATGTCTAGAAGGACTGTTACTCAGTGGGGACAAATTTGTTTTTATATAATGAAAACTTCCAGGACAAGCTAGGGGGATATGGCAGGACACCTCCTTTCATTAAAGTTTAGTTCCATGCATAAGGGAGGCACCCTCTTGGCCTCCTCCTGTCTTATAGGTTCTTCCTCACAATGTTATCACTAGGTTTTAGCCGAGTTGTACGTGGTACAGTTAAACCAAACACTGTACAGCCCACATAAGTTGTCTGAGACACTCTTACTAAAGATCCCAGGTTGGCCTCCTAATCTTCATCTTCCTGTATAAGCTTCCTGAATGCTTCTGGGGTCACAGATGTACTACTGTGCCGCCAGGCTCCCCATTTATACTGAGCTCACAGTTCACCTGTACCCCAAGCCCTTCCCTCCTATGTTTCCAAAACATCCTGTTGTGGTAGTGCACTGTGGCCTACTTAAAGAAACTTCTCTCAACAACAGCAATTAAATTCCTCCATGCCTTTTTTTCCTGACTTTGTTCTTTGAGACAGGCTCTCTCTGTGTAGCCTTGGCTGTCCTGGACTCACATTGTAGACCAGGCTGGCCTTGAACTTACAGAGATCTGCCAGCCTCTACCTCCCAGAGTGCTAGGATTACAGGCATGCGGGATTTAAAAAATGTGCATGGAGTTTTACCTGCATGTATGCAGGTACCACCATGTGTGAGTCTGGTGCCTGCAGTGAAAACAAGAGGAAGAAGAGGACATCAGATCCCCTGGAACTAGAGTTATTAGGTTCTTCTGAGCTGCCATGAAGGTGCTGGGAACTAAATCTTTGTCTACTGAGCCATCTCTCCAGCTTTCCATCCCTTTAATGGTGTGGTTATGCTAAGGCCTTTGTGTGGAAGTCAGAGCACAGTGTTCAGAGATTCAGGAGCTAGTCTCTTCTGCCATGTGAATCCTGGGTATGGAACTCAGGTCATCAGGCTACGGGGCAAGTGCCTTTGTCCACTGAGCCATCTCACTGGTCCTTCAATGTCCTTTTATGGCTTGAAATCTAACACCAACATTCCATGGTCTGGATGTACCTCTGTTCACTCACTTACTCAAGGAGATCTTGGTTTCTTCTAAGTACTTGTTATGATTCCAGCTACTGTGAACATCTGTGCAGGCTCTATAGACACAGGTGCTCTGCTTATGTAAGTGTAAGAACCTGGTTGTCAGGTTGTATGGTAGGGTTGTATTTAGTTTTGTTTTGTTTTTGAGACAGGGTCTGTGTACTTAGGCTGGTCTTGAACTCAAGACTGTCCTGCCTTCCCCTCCAAGCCGGGAGGAAGGTGTGTAGCACCACAGGCACAGCATGTTTAACCTTCCTGTTAATAGACAGGGTCCATGTATCCCTGGCTATCCTGGAACTCACTATGCAAACCAGGCTGGTCTCGAAGGCACAGATCCAGCTGGCTCCACCTCCCCAGTGCTGGGATAAGACATGTGTTTAGTCCCTGCCACTTGCCTCTGCATGCCCCTAGCAGTACTGAGTGTCCTGTGCTCTGTGTCCACCTTCACCATAGGTCAAAAATATGTGGTGCTTCCTTGTTTTAGTTTCACCTCCCTAATGTTCCATGGCAATGCTGAGCACTTCCTATTTCACTTGTCATCTATGCTTCCTTTTTGATGAGGTGGCCATGTTTTTGTTTATTTTGGTTGTTTTTAATGACATTTAAGTGCTACTACTGTGTGGCCCAGCTAGTATTTCTTAGTCATCTATCTAAGAGAAGTGCAAGCTGATACACAGACTAGATGTAGTGACTCATTCTGTAATCCCAGCAGTGAGGAAGCTGAGAGTAGTGGTTTCAAGCTACATGAGACTTGACCTCAAAAACAAAACAAACAAAGAAACAAAAAAGAGGGTCTGGGGAGATAAATCAATTGTTAAAGTGCTTGCCCGAGTTTGCACTCCAACTCCAGGTAAAAAGGCCAGGCATGGCATGTGCTTGCAGACCCAGTGCTGGGGAGATGGTTCATGTAGCTCACTAATCAGCCAGGCTAGCCCAATCATGTTCTTCAGGTCCCAGACAGAGGCTGACCCCAAAACAAGTTGCATGGCATCTGAGAATGACACCTAAGGATGAACTCTGGTCTCTGCACACAGAAAGGAGATGTCCACAGAAAAAGCTGGGTACAAATACCTCATGGTTTTCTTCACAATTGCTCCAAATTTGAGGCTGTCTGGTGAGTGGACAAAAGGAGACACCCCACTGCTTACTAACAGAAAAACAAACAAACAAACGGGCTCACACACATGCCCACAGTGACTTTCAAACGAACTATTAAAATGAAAACAGCCAGGCTGAAAGAAAGGGCAGAATCTTGGGCACAAAGCCAGGTGGGGGTGGTCAGGGTTGGGGAAGCCTGTATAATAGGGATCTACATAGTTATCCAGTTGGCTTTTGCAGCATGTGACCATGCAACAGTATGAACTAGTTGGGAATCATAGGTTACACCTCTCAAGAGGCCCCACTGTAATGAAGGTATGGGCCCCAGGCAGTTCCACCTTCTGGTGTTTGCTCCTTGGGGTCAGACTGGAGGAAACAGGCATAATGTGTTAATCATCAGGTGCTGTGGCTGAGCACCTGTGGCAATGGTGCCATCTGCCCTGCACAGCTGGAACACTCCAATCACAGGAATTCTAGAAGACCATCTGTTCCTCTCCACAAGAGTCATGATACTAGATAAACTTCTGGGCTCCCTCCCAAGCAGCCAGGTTACTCCCAACCCAGCTGCTTCATGGCTTCTAACAGCAATCTCTAGTCCCCAGGAGAGAGGACAATTAAACAGAGCTGCTACAACTCAAAAGTCTGAAACCCCCATCCTGACATGCCACCCTATAGTACCCTCCCCACCAGGACAAGCCATTTTAAGATATAATTCATTTGCTAGGCCAGCTCTACAGAACACCCAGTCTGAATACCTATTGCAGTTGGGTATGAGGACTTGTCTGTACCTTTTCCCAGAAAAGTCAAGAGCCCCGAGACAGTGAAAAATTATCTAATGTAAAATAAATGTCAACCACAAGCCATTTCCAAAGAATCTCTACTCAGGCCTGAAAGTTAACATTTATATACTCACAGATTGGTGCACAATCGTCAAAAACCAAACCAAAACAAACCCAGAAATGATTGATTCTGCTAAATAAATGGTATTGACAGTCAAAAAAATAAATATGTCACTAGCACATTTTCTTGCCTGACATTTCCATGTGTGTGGGTGGGTGTTGGTGAAGGGCCAGCCATGCATAGGCATAATGATGAGGAATGCAGACACAGAACAGCCTGAGGTCAAGAGCCAGGCCAGAATGGATGGCAAATGTCACCATCATCTCTAGATTTGCTTTCTGAACATCTGGTGAGTGCAGCTGGCTCTGAGAGCCGCCTAGAGAAGGATGACATCCACAGAGCTCAACACTGAAAAAAACCTCATACCAAGCACATGGAAGGAGCTGAGACGACACCAGTTCTTCTGAGGTTAGCTGGCTTTTGGGGCATGTATGTATCTGTTTCTAGCTAGGGTTTCTCTGTGTAGCCCTAGCTGTCTTGGAACTAGCTCTGTAGACTAGGCTGGCCTCAAAACCCAGAGATCTATGTCTGCCTCCCAAGTCCTGGGATTAAAGATGTGTGCCACCTCCACCTGGCAAGGTCAGCTGTTTTAACAGGCTGCAGGTCCCAGTGTTTGGTACTCATATTAGACATAGCGAAGTCTACAAGATGAGATGGGAGGAAGCCATGCTCTGAGGACTTCCTGTGCAACTTCTCCAGGTCCAAGAACTGGAGGCAGGGCATTACCCCTTGCTGTGAGCCTAGAATCCAACTAGTTGGCCAGCTCAGGCGTGCCTTGTACTTGCAAACCCTGATTTACACTCTAAGGACCTGGGATTTCAGGTATGCCCACTATTGGGTCTAGCTCACATTACAACTTTTAGAGCTGTCTCCACATTTATTCTTGAGATAGTAAGGAGGCATAAAACTTGCAACTCCCTTTCAGAGGGAGAACTTTCCGTAGGAGCAGAGTGTGGCAGGAGCCTTCCTTGAAGCAGCTCCCTGAGGAGCTGGTTCACTAACAGGGAAGAGAAGAGATTTCCCAAGCTTTTCTTTCTGATTTTCTAGGCTTGAACTATGAGGACACAGGAAGTAGAGGGCATTTCCTCTATACATGAGTATGCCTCCCCAGATGGCTAGTTCAACCAGCACTAAGATTCCAGGGCCATTGGGGCTGTGTGGCATCCTTCTAGAAACACATGTAGGGTCCTGTTCAGCCTGCTCTGTACCGGACTTTAGCTTGTGACACAGACTCTTTGACAGACACCAGTAGTCATTGTAAGCTTTGTGGAGACTGCAAGCTGTGAGCGGCAGTGGGAGCTGTTCCATTGAAACTCTAACTGGTTTCCTGCTTCCCAACCCAGGGCTATAAAAGCAAATTCACGTATGTGGGTGTAATCTCTTTCCTTCTTACAGGACTGTGCTCCCAGAGTACTACAGGTCCTCAGCTAAAGATTTCCTTCTGTTTACTCTCCAGAATTGAAAAGCTGGAATTGGAGAAGCAGATTCAAAAAACTGCGCGCATCAGGGCCAGGCCTGCTTTCTCTAGCCAAGCCCTGGCAAGAAGACGTGGATGCTGGTGACCCAGCTTCAGAGGACCATCAGAGCAATGAGATACAGCCAGTTGTTTCAATAATTTAAAAAGTTACTTTTTTACATAAAACACTCCAGATGCGTTTATCTTCTCACCTCTAAATCTCTAATAGATTACAGTAATTTTCCTTGCGCTTGTAGAAATGTGACACAATTCTAACTTCAATTAGAATAAAAGCAAAAAACAAGAGCTATTTGAGATTATCACTGCTGGTGGCTCTAAGTTCTTTTTTGTTTTTTGAGACGTGGTCTCATATTTCCTAGGCTAGTCAGCTCACTTTGTAGCCAAGGATGGTTTAAACTACTGATCATCCTGCCTCTACAACCTGACTTCAGAATATTACATTTGCAAAGGTCTGCTGCCCTTTTCCTTCCATAAGGATGTCTCAAGTGACAGGATTACTCTGTAAACACCAGGGCCCCATGCAAGGCTGCTCACAAGCAGCTGCGTAGGAAGCCATCTTTCAATGTGTATCTTCCATGGAAAAGCTCATTGTGGAAGCTTCCGTGAGCTGTCCAGGGTAAGGAGTCAGAGTGGCAGCTTCTCCATGTGTTGGTGCAGGCAGACTGCAGTGGTAAACTCATCACTGCTACATTCACCTGGCACAGAGCTATCCTTTCTCCTTTCCCCTTGTATTTCTGGTTTAGGCAAATGCACACAGGAACTGGGTGTGGGGGCTGTGTGCATAGTGATGAACCCTGAAACACCTGGAGCTTTGCCTCAGGAGATGATATGGAGATAAAAACCCACTGGCTTTTATTTCACTGATGAGAGAGGTCTGTCGGCTTTATGAAATAGTCATTTTCAATGTGCCTTAGACTTGTATTCTTTAACCTTTTCAGCTTTCCACCTTTTGGGGGAATACGCTGTGTGTGAGCATAGATAGCCATGGTCTGGAAAGGCAAATGACCCCCTGGTTGCCCTTTTCTCCCATACACTTTATTACACTCTCCTCTTGGAATGATGATAAAGGCATAAACCTTCAGATGTATCTCAGAGCTATCCGAAGCTTTGTTAAGGGGTCTCAGTAGATACAGCAGAGATGCTAGCCCTGGGTGGTCCCCTGGCTGCCACAGAAACACCTGTTTTTTTGTTTCCACAGCTATAAAAATCAAACCTTCAACCCACGTTGGCTTTTCAAAGTGTTTTAATGACAGAGGTGGTTCGGAAGCCTGGACATAGCGAGAATACCTTCTTATTCAATAGTGCCTGATACAGTAGCTCACACTCTATTTGAAGCATAGGTTTACATGTGTGCTCAAGCACAGGTATGTGCACACAGTAGATTGCCTTTGATGCAAAGAGCTCCACTGTGATCCTTGGTGTCACCATTTCTACATAAAGTCCATCACTTGACAGGAATGCAAGATGGACACACCTACTCGTGTTAAAACAGTTTTAATGACACCAGGTAAGTAGATCTTGCTTCTGACCTCCCACTGCACACAACCAAATGTAAATTGCCTGGACTGAAACATGCATGCTGGGGAAACCAAACACAAGACTTTGGGGGAGCACTGAGGGAACACACAGGCGAGGTGAGTGAAGAAATGACCCTTCAGAGACAGGTGTGGTCCACAGTGACAGTATAGCTGTGGGAGTGCTGTGGGCAGAGGCAAGGCCTCCTGGTAGACTGGGAGCAGTCATGGGGGTTTCTCATCTAAGTCACAGTGATCCTGCCACTCTGGCTGGTCACAGGGACACTTTGTTTGGACAGTACACAGTGGTGACTATGTATTTGCTGTGTTTCAGCAGATCATTCAAGTAGTTTTAATTTAAATATTTTCTAAAGTAATCTTTACCTTATTCAAGATTGGTAGAAAATACAGAATCTGGCAACTTGTCATTGTCACTTCATTCCACGGGTGCCCTCCACAAAGAGGGGGGCCTGGCCTACAGGTTACTTTCAAGATCCATGTCCCCCTCCTTCTTGGGTCTAGGTTTAAAATTCTTCCAGAAACCCACACTACCGCCTTGAGAGGAACACACGGGCCCTGCTGGTTCTTCCTTCGTTACACATTTTATAACAGTGTGCTGCCAGCTCAGCTGGCCTTGGGCACTTCTGTCACCTGTAAAATCGACTGTGGAGTTCTTCTGAGGCCTCAGTGAAGGTGAAGACCCAAGTGGAGCTTCATGAAGGGGCTGCGACATAGTGAAGTGCTGGGCAATCAGAGGCTAACTGAAGTCCTCCATCAGGTCCAAGGCTATCTCCACAGTTGTGGCTGGAGAAGCTGGTATCTGCCACCGTGAAGCTCAGATGCTATGAGGAGTCCAACCTCACAGGCCTCCTCCTGGCTCCCAGGCCTTACTTAGTAGATGTCTGGGCAGTCTGAGAAATTACGCTCAAAGTAATCCCCTGCATACAACCAGTCAGGAGTTCCTGTGTAAGGGTTATCGCCTGGATAGAACCACCTGCAGAACACAAGGGAGGTGGTCAGCCTTCTCACAGCAGTATGTGCTATGGAGAAATGCAGCCTGGGGCAACACTGCCACTGACGGTAACTGACCAGCGTCCCTGTGGCTGTGCTTACCCACACATCCAACACATCCCTGTCTCCCCATACCCACATGGCTACTCTCAGAGGCTGGCTCCTATGTGCATGAAGAGGGGACACAAGAGGGTGAACCTCACCAGGTTCCGTGTACACTCCTGCAACTGCACTGCACCAAACAAAGCAACGAAGGCCATCAGAAGTACTCAGGAAGCACACTCTGTGGGCACTCACAAACAAGTGATGGGCTGGTTTTATAGCTCAGTGGTCAAGCAGTTTACCTGGCATGTGCCTTTGCACAGCACCACAAAGGAAAAAAAAGTAATTACCTTTAATGAAAAAAAAAATGTCATTTTCACAATGGTTTATCCTGGGTTGGTTGGTTTGTTTTTTAATTTCTTGCTTGTTTTTTTAAGACAGGGTTTACTTGTATAGCCCTGGTTGTCCTGGAACTCACTCTGTAGACCAGGCTGGCCTCAAACTCAAGAGATCCACCTGCCTCTGCTTCTTGAGTGCTGGGATCAAATGTATGTTCCACTATCACCCAGCCTGGATTATTTATTTTTAATTACTTATTTCTTGAGACAGTGACTCATTATACAGCTCAGGTTTGCCTGGAACCCAGGCTGGCCTCAAACTCAAAACTCTCCTGTCCAGAAGGCTGGAACTAGAGATACAAACCATAGCACCTGCTTATGTTTTCAATACTTTAGAAGACCAATGAAAGAACATTATTTTCAAGTTTTACTCTAGATCAAGGACAAATTCCAAAAACAGACATTAAAGGCACAGTATTAAATCAGAAGCCCATGCACCAACAGTTGACTCAGAGACTGGAAGAGTGGCACAGTGGTAGAGTATCTGCCACGTACACAAGACTCTGGGTTCCATCTTCATCACAGCACAAGAAAACTTGTTTTAAAACTCCATCCCTGTTGGGCGGTACCGACACACACCTGTAATCCCAGCAGGGGTAGTCATGGGTGGTGTGTATGCAGAGGCAGGCAGATCTCTGAGTTTGAGGTCAGCAGGTCTACAGAGTGAGTTGCCAGCCAGGAAAACACAAAGAAACCTGACTCCAAAAGCAAAACAAACAATCAAAAAAAGCCCCAAACAAACAATAACCCAGCCATGTGTCATCAGAGATGGTTGTTAATATGACCTAGAAATAAATACCACAAGGAATGGAGCCTAGCAAGCACAGTGACACACATCTGTTCTTTCAGCTCCTCTGAAGCCTGGGATTCGGAGCTGCTTGAGTTCAAGACTGGATAACAGTGAAAGCCATCTTAAGAATAAAAAGCAACAATAAAAACAATCAGCCTGAGCAGGGCAGTGCTGGTATTTGCCTTTAATCCCACCACTTGGGAGGCAGAGGCAGGCAGATCTCTCTGACTTTGAAGCCAGCCTGGTCTACAAAGTGAGTTCCAGAACAGCCAAGGCTACACAGAGAAAAACCTTGTCTCAAAAAACCCAAAACAACAAAAACCCCAAATCAACAACCAGCCTAAAAACTGAACAGTTTAAAATACCCAAAAACTTTAAAAGACTAAAAATATTTATGTGCACTTATACAGGTACATATTTTGCTTATGATTAGTTATTATAGTGCTTTGACTACTGAAGAAAAATACAGCCAATGTAAGAAATATGAGAAGTAAGGCTAAAATCCTGGCAACTGGTCTAGGCCCATGAGTCATAACATACCCTCTGCATGGGCCCCATATGGGCAAAGAGCCCACCTCAGGGCTGCATCTTCACTCCCACAATAGAGACTTTCCTGACCCATAGTGGGTCTGACAGCAGGATCTGGGCTACAGCCTGATGCCACATTGCCTAGGGGTAAGTGATTTGTGTACATGTGAGCATCACATTTCCACAATGTATAAATGTAAGAACAGCATCACAACTCTCACCAGTTGTTTAAGTAAGCAGCTAGGTTCAGGCTATACTTTGTCTTTAAACTGGCCATATCTGAAAATACATTTTGGGTCAAATTTGCTGTGAGGCAGGGCAGCAAGGCCTAGAAGTGAGGTGACCTGTCTTCAAGATATATGCTAACCTGATAGTCCAGCCTTTAATCCACGGTCGAGTCACAAGCATCATGGTAGCAGTGGTGGGTTAACTATCTTTATGGACCCACAGACTACTGCTGCTTAGCCACCAGGGCTGGGCAGGAAAGGGAGGAAGCTGCCTATGATGGGGCTGTGGCCACTTCGCTGCCCAGGCATGTAAGTCCTCACTGTTCCAACTCACCTGGTCCGCCACTCTGCTTCCTCTTTGGCACGTTCTTTTCTGGCCTCTCTCTGTTTTTCCTCTAGCCGCTCCTTCTCCTGGCTGGCCAGATCTAGGTCCAAGCAAATAAGCAAGCACTTGAAGCTTCTGTTATGTCAGAGATGCCAGATCCCATCTCAACCCCAAGAGGACCTGTTCCACTTTGATTACAAAGTGTGGGGGGTGGGCTCTGGCTCTAGGAGAACAAGTGTTAAGGCGGAGTTGTTCCCGATGAATGTGTGAAAGCACTTCCCCTGGACAAGCAGAGTGGGAGGCATCACACTGGACCATAATAACTCCAAGTGTGGTCTGTGATGTGTTGGGCAGCTTAATGGCACCTGAAGCCCAAGTGAAAAAGTAAGTATCTGAAAGAGTGAGCTCACAGAACCCCAAAGTATAAGATCCCAAATCTATTTGCTATTAAAAGATGTTTACTGAAC